GAGGCAGGAGAGTCACTTGAACCTGGGAGGCAGAGGTTGAAGTGGTCCGAGGTAGCACCACTGCACTCCAGCCTGGGCGACAGAGAGACTCTGTCAAAAAAAAAAAAAAAAAAAAAAAGGAAAAGAAAAGAAAAAGAAAGGTGGAAAGGTGAGTGAGAACGTATGGACATAGGCTTGAGAGTTCAAGATGCTTTCAGGGGTCAGCACAGGGGTTGCTTCTCCCTGTTGACCCTGCCCCTGGCCACCCTGCAGGTGGGAACCGTATCACACAGGCGGTGCTGGGCGCCCATGACGGTGGCGTGTTTGGGCTCTGCGCCCTGCGGGACGGGACGCTGGTGTCCGGAGGGGGCCGTGATCGGCGGGTGATCCTCTGGGGTTCTGACTACAGCAAGCTGCAGGAAGTGGAGGTGAGGAGGGGCAGTGGGCTCAGATGGGGGTGGAGAGACCCCCCTATCTCACCAGGGCTGCCAACACCAGACCCTCCTCCCCACAGCATGTCACCCCACGCCCACCCCTGTGTACATCCTACTCATCTTCCCTCTTATCTGCCCACCCAGGTCCCCGAGGACTTTGGCCCTGTACGCACTGTGGCAGAGGGCCACAGAGACACACTGTACGTGGGGACCACCCGCAATTCCATCCTGCAGGGCTCCGTGCACACGGGCTTCTCGCTGCTGGTCCAGGTGCGCCTCCCTCCACTTCACCCCTCCCCTCTTCCCAAATCTTCCCCTTGTCTTCCCTGCATTATCCACTCCCCCTCTCCACTCCTAGTTCTCCTCACCTCCCTGCTGTGTCCCTTCTCTGACCTGGCCCTGACCCAGGACCCCTTCCCAGGATCCAGCAACCAAGAGTTTAACTCCGAGCACAGCAGAGGGGCCCCAGGCCTCTGCTCCAACTGTGCTGCCTCCTGCCACTCTGATTGGGGGTGGCATCCTTTAGGTTGGTGAGTGTCCCTACAGGTTGTCCCATGGCTGCAGACACCCTGGCCACACACCTCTCGGTCTCCAGCTCCACAGACTGGGGAAGGCTCTGCTGGAGTCTGCTTACATTTCTTCTCGAAGCTCAAATGCCTGCTCCTCCCTTCCTGGCCTCCTCCCTCCCTCCCTTGTTCCCGACCCAATTAAAGAACTCACCTACCGGGAAGCACTCTATTTATACTTTTTTTTTTTTTTTAAATTTTTGAAACAGAGTCTTACTCTGTCACCCAGGCTGGAGCGCAGTGGTACAATCTTGGCACATTGCAACCTCTGCCTCCAAAGTTCAAGCGCTTCTCCTGCCTTAGCCTCCCGAGTAGCTGGAATGACAGGCATGTACCACCACACCCAGCTAATTTTTGTATTAGAAACAGGTTTTCGCCATGTTGGTCAGGCTGGTCTCAGACTCCTGACCTCAGGTGATCCACCCACCTCAGCCTCCCAAAGAGCTGGGATGACAGGCATGAACCACTGCGCCCAGCCCATACTATTATATTGGCTATAATAATTATTAATTGTAATATTAATATTACTTTGGAACACCGAGGCAGGCAGATCACTTGACATCAGAAGTCGAGACCAGCCTGGGCAACATGGTGAAACACCATCTGTACTAAAAATACAAAACATTAGCTGGGCATGGTGGCGTATGCCTGTAATCCCAGTTACTCAAGAGGCTGAGGCAGAAGAATTGCTTGAACCTGGGAGGTGGAGGTTGCAATGAGCTGAGATCCTACCACTGCACTCCAGTCTGGGTAACAGAGTGAGATCCCGTCTCAAAAAAAAACTTGTTGTAAATAATAATAGTTAGACATTTCCATTTTGTGACCACATTCTCTGAATTATCCTTATGTTTAGCATTTTATTTATTTATTATATCACGCAGCCTGGAATGTAGTGGTGCCATTTCGGCTCACTGCAACCTCCATCTCCTGCGCTCAAGGGATCCTCCTGCCTCAGCTTCCCAAGTAGCTGGGACTACAGGTGTGCACCATCACACCTGACAAATTTTTGTATTTTATGTAGAGATGGGGTTTTGCCATGTTGCCCAGGCTGGTCTCGAACTCCTGAGCTCAAACAATCTTCCTGCCTCAGCCTCCCAGAGTGCTGGGATTACCGGCCTGAGCCACCGCACCCGGCCAGCATTTTCCATCCACGATTTGAGTGAGCACAAGAATGCTATGAGGCACACACACCAATTGGCTCCATTTTACAGACGATCAAGCTGAGGTTCCAAGGAGATGTCACCTGCCTAGGTGACTGCCCTCGGTCAGTAATAGAAGGCCGAGGGTCAGAGCCATCAGGTTTAGTGCCCTCCATGAGGTCCCTCAGACTTCTGGGCTCTGTCTGGCTGCAGGCAGGCTCCACGAGGGCCTTCCCAGATCCTTGGAGCTGGAGACCTGGGAGGCGTGTGGCCAGAGTGCAGCCTGTTTGACCCCTGAGATCAAGCTCTGAGCCACCATGCCCTCCTGCCTCCCATTGTGCAAAGAAGAAAGCAGAGGTCCCTGGAGAAGGGGCAGGGTTTGCCTTGAGTCACACTCTAGAACTTGGGTTCAGATGCCCAATCGAGGCGCCCTTCAGACACACCGGGAAAGGTCTTCCCTGGGTCCCGCTGGGGCAGGGTGAGTTATCCAGCACTTGTCTGGCATTAGGGTTGGGTGGGAAAAGGCCAGGGCTGCTGTCTCCATCCTGCTGTCCTCCTTTTCCACCAGGGCCATGTGGAAGAGCTGTGGGGCCTGGCCACACACCCCAGTCAGGCCCAGTTTGTGACCTGCGGGCAGGATAAGCTGGTGCATCTGTGGAGCTCAGAGTCCCACCAGCCCCTGTGGAGCAGGATCATCGAGGTGAGGGGCCCGGGGACTGGAAACGCACCGTTCTAACAGAACTACCTTTCTCCATGTGTCAGAGCTCAGCACATTAGACTGAAACCAAACAAGGTCTTTTTTTTTTTTTTTTCTTTGAGATGGAGTCTCACTCTGTCACTCAGGCTGGAGGGCAATGGCATGATTTCGGCTCACTGCAACCTCCGCCTCCCGGGTTCAAGCAATTCTTCTGCCTCAGCCTCCCAAGTAGCTGGGATTCCAGGCACACACCACCATACCCAGCTAATTTTTGTATTTTTAGTAGAGACGGGGTTTCACCATGTTGGTAAGGCTGGTCTCGAACTGACCTCATGATCCGCCCACCTTGGCCTCCCAAAGTGCTGGGATTACAGACATGAGCCACCAAGCCTGGCCCAAACAAGGTCTTTTTAAGCAGGGTGGGGGTTTTGTCCAGGGAACTGGGTGCTTAGAAGCTCTCTCAGAAGGGGTGGAGGAGTAGGTTCCTGACTGGAAGGGAGCCCAGGACGACACAGAACCATCCTGTCGGGAGCTGCCATGAGGAGCGGGGAGTCAGGAGCCGCTGAGTTCAAGGAAGGTGTGACTGCTGCAACAGTCAAGTGTAGAGCTACACTGTCCCATAGGGTAACCACTGGCCACACATGGCTATTCACAATTCATTAAAATGTAAACAGAATAAAAATTTCAGCTGGGTGTGGTGGCTCACACCTGTAATCCCAGCACTTTAGGAGGCCGAGGCAGGTAAATTGTGTGAATCCAGGAGTTTGAGACCAACCTGGGCAACATGGCAAAACCCCATCTCTACAAAAAACAAAACAAAACAAAAATCAGCTGGGCGCGGTGGTGGGTGCCTGTAATGTCAGCTACTTGGGAAACTGAGGCAGGAGAATTGCTTGAACTTGGGAGGCAGAGGTTGTAGTGAGCTGAGACCGTGCCACTGCACTCCAGCCTGGGCGACAGAGCGAAACTCCATCTCAAAAAAATAAATAAAAATTAAAAGAATTAAAAATAAAAGTAAAAAGAGTCTTAAAATTCTGGATGCCCTTTGTCCGAGCATTCCCACATCTAGGAAATTATCTAAAGAAGTTGTCTTGGCCGGGCGCGGTGGCTCAAGCCTGTAATCCCAGCACTTTGGGAGGCCGAGA